TCGTCAAGATGGAGCAACGTGGGCACGGAAAACAAAGAATTTTCCCATCCGCTCTCTGCTGTTGCTGATGGGAACCGCTTGATTGGAAAAAGTGGCAGGGGCGTGTGGGAGGATAGTTCAAGAAACGCGTTTTGGGTCGCTTCCAGGGAATGGAAACTTTTCGGATGGACGAATGGATGATGGTTGAATGCTTGATGGCGCACTCAGGGAAATTCAGTGACATGATAAGCTTTTTTCGGCTATAGCAAGACGGACAAAGCATTTCCCTCCGTGTACCTCGGTTCTCGTGTGTACCATTTATTCAACTATTATTATTTGCTACCCCCCACGAGAATTGAGCCATATTGTACCGTTTCTTCGCCTCTCTGTCGCCTGACATTCCGCTTCATCGAATGCAACCGACGGTTCCTTTTCTCCGACAAAATTCTGACTGCAAATACACACAACCTCACATAAAAATTTAAGATCCTTCTCCGGAGAGGGCTACCACATCTTTGTTACGATGCTGCACTGCCAGCTGCCCTGCATCGAAACCAAAACGGAGGCATCCACTCTTCCTGTGCATTCGGGGGGATGCACTTCCGCTCACATACCTACGTTCCTTCGTACTTCGTGCGGGGAAAAGTACAAAATTTTTATTTCATTCATAAATTTTAGAAACGAAGAAAACGGGAACCAGGTTTTATGCCCGGCTCGGGGACGTGTTCGTCCTACAAAAACGGGGAAAAATTGGGGGGGAATCGAAGAAAGCAGCAAAATCAAACACGGAAGCTGACGGTGTGTGTCGGCGGTTTGCAGGGATCCAGCCAGCATTCCCAGGAGGAATGAATAGGTAATATTGTTTTCAATTTATATTTCTTTCAAATATTGTGTGCAGTTTACGACCGACCGTGCCGTGGGTATTTGAACGTCTTCCGGTTGTTACAAGGAGGTGATTCCTTGGACCGGACGCTTACTGGCTGGTACACCTTTTTCTCGAATTCGGTTCACAACACTATGTCGGGAAATTTATCTTCAATTTAACTGGACTACCAACGATCAAATACGATAAAGTTTTTTTTTGAAAATAATAACCCAGTTTACGAGAAGCCCAGTTACAATTCATAGTTTTAATCGTAAATTAAAACAGATCAAGTGGATCGCAGAGTAGCTTCTAAAATAATAATGATTCAGTTATATCTGGATTTAGCGAAACTTACAAAGAAGGGTATACATTTCGCACTGCCTCGAATCTTGGCCAGTCGAAGACCACATGCTCCAGCGTTTCATCCACGTTGCTACACTCCGGATAGAGATGGGCGCAGGTATGTTGTGACCAGCCCTGGCGATCTGTCTCTAAAAACGTGTGGCTTATGTGGTGTTTACACTTAGGCTAGTTTGCTAGCGCTAATGAGCTCGCTGCTAGCAAAAACGCTCACCAGCATAATGTAAACAGGGCATCAGCGTCTACCAGCATGAAATTTCAGGAGCAACTGAGATTCGTGCTAGTTGGCAAGTACACTAGCGCGAGTAAATCCGCACAGATGTAAACACCCAATGCCCAATGTATACTTGCCCGGTTGATACTCTCCTAAGGGCGAGTCCATCAACACTCCTAGAAAGGCAAGCTGGCGTTCAACTAAACGTCCAAACGGGAAAACCCTATTATCTCCATAAAATCCAAAACACGATAATCACTCAGAGAGTCGGTGAGAACTCACCCATACCTAAAGACCTCTTACATACCTTACACACTTGGAAAAAACTGTTTTTACATGAGACGTAATCCATCTTTGACGTAAATTATGTCATGTAAATTTAAGTGTTCCCAAACCGAAACATACGCAACTCGACGAAAAGTACGCTGGATCGAATTAATTTTCTCGTTTCTTTCAACTGATTCTTATGTCGTTTGGGCCGCTTGCATGTGTCAGTCTCAGGGCACAGAAATTTCCATGACTTTTCGTAGTGTGTCCTTACCAATCAGGCTAAAGCCTTGTTATCCTCTGCTGTCAGAAGACGTCGTACCCACTCTTCTCGATCCATGGCCTCACTTCACCAGCCTCGTAGTCTGCGAAAGGTCCGCAGGTCTGAAGTGATATGATTAAATAAAACGTACACGATTGCTCAGAAAAGAAACTTGCTTCTATATTATACTGTACATTTACATCGAGTGAATAAAACACAGAAATCTGAACGTCATCAGTTGACAGTTAAACTTAACCATGAGCGAGGGTATAGATGGGGGCAAATAGTTCGTCAGCAAGGTTTATATACTTTACACGCCCACTTAAACATTGCAGTCTATCATTCCCAAGCTATCCAGCAGCTTTTTGAACCCAGGAGCAGGCAGACCTTTCGTCAGAATATCGGCCTGCTGCATCAACGACGGCACGTAGTCAATTTTGATGAGATTCCTCTCCAACAAATCACGAACGTAGAAATACTTTACATACATATGCTTCAGGCGCGAAGAATCCTTTGGGCTCGAAGCAATTTTAATCGCCGATTGATTATCCTCATGGAAACAGATAGGACCATCCGGAAACCATCCAAGATCTCCCAATAATCGGACTAGCCACTGGCTGTGGCACGCAGCCGTACAGAGTGCAACCAGTTCTGCCTCGGTCGACGACAGTGAAACTGTTGCTTGCTTCTTCGAATACCAATTAACCGCAGCACCAAAGACTTTGAACACCGCACCCGAAACGGAACGACGGTCGGTGACATCGCTTGCCCAATCCGCATCGGTGTATGCTTCCAGCAGTGGACTATCGTTGCTAGCACGGTAACACAAACCAAAAGACAGCGTACCTTGAATGTACCGCAGCACTCGCCGAAGATGAACCCAATGTTCTTCATTTGGACACACTTGGAATTGGCTGAAGTAGTTGGCTACAACAGCCAAGTCCGGTCTAGTCGTCAAGGATACATACATAATGCATCCCACCAATTCCCGATATGGTTTCGAGATTCTTTTCGATTTTCCCCCTTTTGGAAGCTTCAGCTTGTTTTCGAGCGGCGTTGAAACAGCACGACAGTTTTGCATTTCAAACCGAACAAGTAGATTCTCTAGATATCGACGCTGATGGAGGCACATCACTTTCTTCTTTACATCACGATTGATCGTAATACCCAAAAAATGTTTAACGAACCCTTAATCAGTCATTTCGAATTCTCGAGCTAGGCATCGTTTTATCGTACATACAAGCTTATCAGATGGACTAACAAGAAGAATATCGTCCACGTATAGAACGATCACAACCAGTTGGTTCCCGGTTCCCGGTACAGGCACAAATCGTTTGCACTTCTTTTGAAACCAAGCCGCTCAATGAATGTATGAAACCTGATATTCCATGACCTTGACGCCTGTTTTAAGCCGTAGAGCGATTTATTCAGACGACAGACAAGATCCTTCTGCTGTCGAAAACCCTCTGGTTGAAGCATATAAATCTCTTCGGTGAGATTGCCGTTAAGGAATGCCGTTTTCACATCCATTTGATGAACAGCCATTCCTTCCTGGTTGGCTAGAGCGAGAACTGTACAAAGTGTGTCCACGCGCGCTACAGGGGAGTAGGTCTCCGAAAAGTCAAACCCTGGCTTTTGACTAAAGCCTCTAGCCACTAAGCGAGCCTTATATCGTGGTGACTGATCTTCATCGGCATGCTTGATCTTGAAGATCCACTTACAAGACACTGCACTACGCCCCTTTGGCAACTCTGCTAAGGTCCATGTACCGTTTTTCACTAACGCGTCCATTTCCTCCTGCATAGCTTTCTGCCACAGACACCAATCTTCTCTTTTCTGCATCTCCGTCACCGAATCGGGCAAATTGTCAACGTAGGACAGAGCATTCAGTGCAAAATTGGCATCCACTTCATAATCTTTGTGCCAACCTGGCGCACTATGAACACGCACCAATCGACCATCCGGATCAACATTGACAGCATTTTCAATTTCATCACTTCCTCCTTCCCTGAAACTTGAAAACTGTTCTTCGTCCTCTTCTTCTACACTGTCGGATTGTTCTTCGCTCTTTTCTTCTTCACCGTCGGACTCTTTGTTGTGCTCTTCTTGTTCATGAGCTGACTCTTCACTTCGTACATAAATCACTGGATTATACTTCTTCTTCATCTTTTCAGACGCCGGCAAATCCTCTGGAGCTTCAACAAAATCTACATCGTGTGCGACAACAATGGCTCTTGTCGTTGGATTCCACACGCGGTATCCGTTCGGAGAGTATCCAACAAATACACCTTTCCAGGCCTTCGCGTCTAATTTTCTACGAATCTCACTTGGTACGTGGACATACACTACACATCCGAAACAACGAAGTTTGGAAATATTCGGACACTTTCCTTGCCAAACCTCGAACGGCGCTGCATTCAAATCGTTCGCGCTGGTCAGACACCTGTTGACCAGATACACAGCAGTCTGCACTGCTTGCACCCAGAAGTGCGGTTTAATCTCTCACTGGTCCCGTTTTGTTCAGGGGTGTAGGGAACGGTCCACTCGATTTGGATCCCTTTAGCCTCGCAAAACGCTATGAAAGCCTTGTTCGCATACTCGCCACCATTGTCACACTTAAATTGAGATATTCGCTGACCAAACTTCGCTGTCACTACTGCTTCATAATACTTGAAACACTCAAGCGCTTTTCGTTTGGATCGCATCGGGAAAATCATCGCAAAGTGACTACCGAAAACAGGTTGAAACGTAACGACGGAACGTACAGTACATCATTGATAGTACATGGTGTGTACTTACCACCCGCGATGCAGAAAAGCCTCCGACAATTTATGCCCTTCTTGTTGACATCCGAAACACTTTAGCTTTTTCTTCTTTTTCTGGTTCTGCTTTTGTGGTCCAGCAAAAGCTGCTGCGTCAAAACTTGAAGTTGAGGTAAACAACTCGACACCTGATCCTTTCCGTTTAATCTCCTCGACATCTTGCGTTTAAGAAGACGACATCTCACGAACTCCAGTGTTAATTTATCCTCGGGCATGGTTTCTATCGACGTTATGACGGTGGAAAACTTCGGCCAGCAAGTGGCAGATTACGTCCAACTCCTTGATGACTGCTCCGGTGTTCCGGTAGTCTCTCACCAAACGGTCAAATCTTAAAAAATGCTCCTGTAGAGATCCCGCATCAAAACGTAATGACAGCATCTGCCGTTTGAGGTGCATGCGGCTTGCGATGCTTTTACGCTCAAAAACACGAATGAGAGCATCCCAAATTTGTTTCGGTGTCCCCTTTTCCTGCACGTCCTCAAGACACTAACAACGATTTGCACCTCCTGTCCTGCTTCAAACGTTTCTCCCGCTTCTCCGCTTTTACCTTTTTGATAGACTCACTGTCATTAGGTTCTTCTTTCAGGTCATTCACCGCAGCCGCTTCCGTTTCTATACACTGTAGAAGGTCGTGTTCTTCCAGCAGAATCCGCACTCAAAATTTCCATGCGGTGAAATTGGACCCATCAAATAACGGTAGTAGAAACCGTTCGTTTCTCTCCTCCTCGGTAATTTTACGTTTTCACTTTCACGAATCGTGGCGATCACTTTACACGTAACTGGGAACCATAACCTGAAGTGATATGGTTAAATAAAACGTACACTCACAGTCCGCATCGTGCTCTCTTGCCGTGCGGATCTATTTGCTTTTTGCTGAAGGAAGTGTTACTACTACCTAAAGCTACAACAAATTTTAACAGCACTTTTCAGTGCTCAACCTGTAAAAATTTTCTACCTTGTTCAACTCTTATTCCTCTTCGATCCTTGTTTGGACCCTACCCGAGGTAATCCTTCTTGGATATCGATTTGGAAAATTCCTCTTCGATCCTTCAGATTCTTATAGTAATCTGCTTGGAAGTCGATTTGGATAAAAATTTACTGCCGCCATGGCGCCTAAACGCAAAAGAAAGGGGCAAACTCTTGACCCCCCTTCTGATGAAATTAATTTGAGTAATCAATTTGATTTGCTCACGGATGATGAGAATGATCCATCATCCAAGAAAAATTCTAGTAAACTTTCCCGGCTTAATGCCAAGAAGGAAAAGATTCCCCCTATTGTGATAACCACTACCGATTTCCATGCTCTTCGCATGGAACTTTTGAATTTCGTGAAAGTTAAGTTTTCACTACAAATTGGACGTCGGGGTGAATGCCGTGTATTAGCTGAAACCTTGGACGGATTTAAATGTCTTCTCAAGTATCTTACTGAGAAGAAGCACAAATTTTTTACTTACGACACCAAAACTGAACGTGTGTTCAAGGTTGTCATGAAAGGACTGCCCAGTGGTGAATCCCTGGATCAGATCAAAGATGAACTGGCAAAATTACTTGGAGTTGTGCCACTCCAAGTAATCAAAATGAAAATGAAATCCCGTCCTGGCGATTCGCGCAACGGGATTTCTAATGATTTTTATTTAGTTCACTTCAAGTCTAGTGAACTAAACAACCTTAAGGCCTTAGAAAAAGCTAGCCTTATGCTCCATGTCCGAGTGAAGTGGGAACACTTCAGGAAGACTGGAGGAAATTTTCAAAACCTCACCCAGTGCCGTAAGTGCCAGGGATGGGGTCACGGAACTAAAAATTGCTACATGCCAGCTAAATGCATGAATTGTGGTGATTCCTCTCACGCAAAGGACGACTGTCCTGTGAAGGAAGATCCTAAGAAATTTAAATGTTCAAATTGTGGTGAAAACCACAAATCCAATTTTTGGGAATGTAAGACTCGCAAAGCGATCCTACAATCTCGTTCTAACCGTCAGGTAGGAAACGCTCCACGTTTCCGACCAGGTACAAATTCCTCTGCTGTTAACAACGGTCAGCGAGGAACAAATTCTACATTCGTACCCGTAGGTACAAATATCTCCCCTGCTTCAAATGTTTCATCTGTACCTACTCCCCTCGCTGCTAACAATGTTCAGCGAGTTAATGGAGCTACCTATGCTGCTATTGCAGCGGGTAGAAATCAAAATACTAACCAACGTTCTAATGGAAATTTTGACAATTTTGACTTAGGAAGCTGCCCCCAAAATGGAATTTTTACAGAATTCATTAATTGACATGATTTCTGATATGCTTAAATCTAACTCCATGTTTGATGCTATTCAAACTGGAGTAAAATTTGCAAATAATATTGTCATGACTTTAAAATTCAGTAATGGATTTTAAAGCATTAAATATTGTAAATTGGAATGCTCGATCTCTTAAAGATAATGAAGACGAGCTATTTAACTTTTTAAGAGTTCATAACGTGCATATTGCCGTTATAACTGAAACGTTCCTTAAACCTGCCCATAAGGTTAAGAAGGACGCAAACTACTTGATTTATAGAAATGATCGTCTTGATGGACCCTGTGGTGGCGTTGCCATCATTATTCATAGACGAATCAAACATAAAATTCTTTCTTCATTTGAAACCAAAGTTTTTGAAACTTTGGGGGTTTCTGTTGAAACAAAATTTGGACAACTTACGTTTATAGCTGCCTATTTGCTATTCAAATGCGTAGGCCAGCAAAAGAATTTTCTCAAGGGTGACCTCCAGAAACTTACCCGTCATAGGTCTAAATTCTTCATTATTGGTGATTTTAATGCAAAACACCGCTCATGGAATAATGCTCAAAGCAATTCCAATGGTAATATTCTGTTTGATGATTGTTCTGCAGGTTATTACACTATTCAATATCCAAACAGCCCAACATGCTTTTCTTCTGCAAGAAATCCCTCCACTATTGATTTGGTCTTAACTGATTCATGTCAACTTTGTAGCCAATTGGTTACCCATGCTGACTTCGGTTCTGATCACCTTCCAGTAACTTTTGAAATATCCCAAGAAATAATTTGTAATCCCAACAGCTCTACTTTCAATTACCATAGAGCTGATTGGGAGCAGTATCGAACATTTATGGAATATAACTTCGATCCAAACATTCCTTTGCAAACCAAAGATGAAATTAATTATGCTCTTGAATCTCTGACTACTTCTATAGTTGAAGCAAGAGCTGCCTCAGTACCAAAATGCGAGGTTAAATTCGATTCAATTATAATAGACGATGATCTTCAGCTCTTGATCCGTCTTAAAAATGTCCGTAGGAGACAATATCAAAGAACACGCGATCCTGCCATGAAAGTTATCTGGCGGGATTTGCAAAAACAAATTAAAAAGCGATTCTCTGCCCTGAGGAACAAAACTTTTGAAAATAATATTTCTAAATTAGACCCGAGTTCCAAACCCTTTTGGAAACTCACAAAAATTTTGAAAAAACCTCAAAAGCCTATTCCAGCGCTTAAAGAAGGTGGTAAAATTTTGATCACAAATTTGGAAAAAGCTCAGAAACTTGCTAAGCAATTCGAGAGTTCCCATAATTTCAGTTTGGGTCTTACTAGTCCTATTGAGAATCAGGTTGCTCGGGATTTTCTGAATATTTTCTCTCGGGAAAATATTTTTGATGATTCCTGGGGGACTGATTTGGACGAAGTAAGGTCTATAACTAAAAATTTTCAAAATATGAAAGCTCCAGGTGATGATGGAATTTTCTATATCCTCATCAAAAAACTCCCAGAGAGTACCTTGTCTTTCTTGGTAAAATTATTTAACAGATGTTTCCATTTGGCATACTTTCCTGATAAATGGAAAAATGCAAAAGTTGTTCCAATTTTGAAGCCGGATAAAAATCCAGCTGAAGCTTCTAGCTACCGTCCAATAAGTTTGCTTTCTTCAATAAGTAAACTTTTTGAAAAGATAATTTTGAATAGAATGATGCTTCACATCAATACGAACTCAATTTTTGCAGATGAGCAGTTTGGATTTCGCCATGGGCATTCAACTACTCATCAACTCTTGAGAGTTACCAATTTAATTCGTTCAAAAAAATCTGAAGGCCACTCAACTGGAGTTGCTCTTCTAGACATAGAACAAGCATTCGACAGTGTTTGGCATGAAGGTTTGATTGCTAAATTGAAAAAGTTTAATTTTCCACTTTATATTATGAAATTAGTTCAAAATTATTTAACTGACAGAACTCTTCAAGTAAATTATCAAAATTCCAAATCTAATCGACTACCTGTTAGGGCAGGAGTTCCTCAGGGTAGCATTCTTGGGCCTAACATTTTCACTTCGGACCTCCCTGATTTGCCTCAGGGTTGCCACAAATCTTTGTTCGCTGATGACACAGGCATTTCCGCTAAAGGAAGAAGTCTTCGTGTTATTTGCAGCAGACTGCAGAAAAGTTTAGATATTTTCTCTTCTTATTTACAAAAATGGAAGATTTCTCCCAACGCTTCCAAAACTCAACTTATAATATTTCCACACAAGCCTAGAGCTTCGTTTTTGAAACCTCAGTAGTAGTAGTAGTAGTCACATAGTCAATATGAACGGAGTTCCAATTTCCTGGTCAAACTAAGTGAAATATCTTGGATTAATACTTGACCAAAAATTAACTTTTAAAGATCACATTGAGGGCATTCAAGCCAAATGTAACAAATATATAAAATGTTTGTATCCTCTTATAAACAGGAAATCCAAACTTTGCCTGACGAATAAACTTCTAATATTTAAACAAGTTTTTAGACCGGCCATGCTTTACGCTGTGCCAATATGGTCTAGTTGCTGCACTACCAGGAAAAAAGCACTTCAAAGGATTCAGAACAAAATTCTGAAAATGATTTTGAAGTTGCCTCCCTGGTACAGTACAACCGAAGTACATAGAATTTCGAATGTTGAGACTTTAGCACAAATGTCCAACAAAATAATTAATAATTTCAGGCAAAAATCGTTGCAATCCTCAATTGCAACGATTAATTCCCTTTATACTTAGATAAGATTTAGTTTTAGTTTTTAGTTTTAAGATATCAATTGTTATACTGACATGCAGGTTAAAAAAACCTGTTTAAAATACTGAATTGCCAAGACATGAACAATGTAAAAACACTTAGATATATATCATAACAATTAAGGCTGGTACGTTACTGCAGTAACTGGAGCACCTAGGTTAAAATGAAATGTAATTTATTTTGAATTTGGAACAAATAAAGAGTTAAAAAAAAAAAAAAAAAAAAAAAAAAAAAAAAAAAAAAAAAAAAAAAAAAAACGTACACTATTGCTCAGAAAAGAAACTTGCTTCTATATTATACTGTACATTTACATCGAGTGAATAAAACACAGAAATCTGAACGTCATCAGTTGACAGTTAAACTTAACCATGAGCGAGGGTATAGATGGGGGCAAATAGTTCGTCAGCAAGGTATATATATACTTAACAAGGTCACCTTCTACTTGGTTGGTCCACCTTGCCCGCTGCGCGCCTCTTCTTCTTGTTCCTGTTGGGTCGCTTTCTAGAACCATTTTCACTGGGTCGTCGTGCGGCATTCTTACGACGTGCCCAGCCCAGCGTAGTCGCCCCATTTTTCCAATGTGGACGATGGATGGTTCTCTCAGCAGCTGGTGCAATTCCTCCACATTCCGTCATCCATCTGCACTCCACCTTAGATGGTACGCAACACCTTCTGTCTAGGAGTGTGCTACGATCGGAAATTACCATCAGCTGTCCCTTTGATCGATGCTGCATAGATCTGTGGAACATGTTGTGCTGCCACTGTATGCGAGATCCATCAACCCTCAGAATTGTCGAGATAGTACAACTACAACCGAAGCAACTACTACAGAGCCGAAGAGAATGTAAAAAGGGAGAAAATATGCACTTTATATAGGAGTCAAAATTCCTGAAGTGGACCACTGATTTTTCACAAATCATTGGATTCCATTCAAAATACGTCTATATATTGCTCTTACCACGACAAACAATAACCCAAAATATTTCGGCAAAATTCGCATTTAAACAAAAGTTATAAACAATTAAGTTTTTTTGACCCTTTTTCGAAAAAAAATCTTATCTCTAGATCGGGCCAATGAATTTTTCTCCAGTTTTGATATAATCACAAGAAGACATGTTTCTTCCAAAATCACTAAAATTTATTCATCAAAAATGTAATTTGTTTATAATAATTACAATTTTTTATAAACAAATGCAATTTTTTTGGTGTTCCCCGCGCGATACAAGATTGCTTTTTTTTTAGAATTGTTCCCTGACTTTTTTCCCATACAGAACCGTTTCAACTTTTTTGTCACCAGTATTGGGAGCCGAGTTATAGCAATTTTTGTAACGCGCCGCACCAAGCGCGCGGCGCCGCGACCCGCCGCTCGCGCGCGAAGCGAGTCGCTAGGCGCTCTTGGTCCGAACTCGTTTCCTCGTTTCGTCTTTCCCGTGTCTTTCCCGATGCGTGAACGCGCGAGCGGCGCGACGCGGCGCCGTGCGCTTGGTGCGGCGCGTTACAAAAATTGCTATAACTCGGCTCCCAATACTGGTGACAAAAATGTTGAAACGGTTCTGTATGGGAAAAAAGTCAAGGAACAATTCTAAAAAAAAAATAAATTTTGTATCGTGCGGGGAACACCAAAAAAATTGCATTTGTTTATAAAAAATTGTAATTATTATAAACAAATTACATTTTTGATGAATAAATTTTAGTGATTTTGGAAGAAACATGTCTTCTTGTGATTACATCAAAACTGGAGATAAATTCATTGGCCCGATCTAGAGATAAGATTTTTTTTCGAAAAAGGGTCAAAAAAACTTAATTGTTTATAACTTTTGTTTAAATGCGAATTTTGCCGAAATATTTTGGGTTATTGTTTGTCGTGGTAAGAGCAATATATAGACGTATTTTGAATGGAATCCAATGATTTGTGAAA